ATCAATCTTTTGTCGCTTTGAAGGATAGATTAATGTTATACGGACAAGGAAAGTTTCACAAAATTCATCGGGAGACACTTGGCGCGGTTCCATTGGTAGTTGGCACAAAAAGAAAAACTTGCGAATTAGGTGTTGCGCTGTAAGAATTCTGTGAAGAATTTCCCTGTACTTTGGGAATTTTTCGAAATTGTACATCATTGGTTTAACTGAGTTTAATATCATATATTCACATTGTTGCCAAAATTTGTGTACGTTTTTCAAAATTTAGATATTCACTTGTCAAAACGGCATTTTGGACAGATAAGTTCCATNNNNGGCATTTTGGACAGATAAGTTCCATATTTCCATTATTGTCATAACGTGAATTTTTTATGAACATTATACAAAAAAAATCTAATTAATTAATACTATGCGAGCTATAAAAAAAACTAAGTAGATGTATAAAAAATTAAGTATAAAATCATAGCAGATAAACTTTTTATAAAGTACTAGGTGAAATGAGGTGGATAACATTTTTTTAATTTTTTATTCAAGAAAGTATTATTTGCATTATTTTTCTTAAGCTAACGGGATGATAACATAAGGGGTGAGGAGGTGAGTTTTGGCCGAATATGAAAGATGTGCATATAACATTCTTGAAGTAAGTAGTATCAATCTATCTGGTCAATATGAAATTGTCTTCCTTTATTCCCACGTTGATCCTATGCAGGGCATTTTCTTCGAGTCCAGAGCCCAATTGGGCCTTGAATACCGATTTAAGCATAGCTGATCCAACATAGTCAAGGTACATAAACCTTTTTATAATGACTTTAATTCGGAAATAAGTCAAAAATTTCTATTGCAAGACTTTTTTTTAAATGTTTTCCAATCACATACATTGTTAGCCCTCGAGGGGCCAATCTAAGAACCAAGTTAATTATCGGTGAAGCGAAAGAAGCAAAAGGCTTGCATAAAAGTTGCAGACTTCTGGCTACAGTTTGTCTATAGGGGCACATGAACAAAGTAAGTAAATCGTGATTTCTTAACTGAATTTGTTATAAGGTGGGCATTAATGAATCACCACTTGTCACCCCTTCCAAAATGATCAGATTACCCCAATGCTTGGAAGGAAATCTACAAATATCCCACTTTGAAAAAGGAAGCGTGAAATTCAAATATCTCACTCTCAAAT